CAGTGCCTGGCTCGATAAATATGTGCAGAAGGAACTTGAGGCGGTCCTAAGACACATTTTTCTTATTTTAGAGATGAAGTATTAATTTTTTTTTTTATCCTCACCCAAGGATATTTTTCCATTTTTTGTACAGATAGAGTGGGAGGGAGAGAGAGAGAGAAACATCGACGTGAAGGGACACATTGAGTGGCTGCCACCCACACAACCAACCAGGGCTGGGGACAAACTGCAACCGAAGTACATGCCCTTAGCGGGAACCGAACCCGGGTCTCTCCGGACCGCAGGCCGACGCTCTAACCGCTGAGCCAAACTGGCCAGGGCGAGATTAAGTATTAATTTAATGTGTCAGGAAAAAAATCCTAAGTACATCAAATAGTGATTCAGGGTTTTTGAAAAGTTCCTTTAACATAAGTTTTAGCGTAATGGCCAGGATCCTAAGTGGAAAGCACCTGAGTGAGGTTTGTAAAGTGCTGCGGGAGGGGCTGGACTTTGCAGGCAGGGCGGGACCGAGTTCCTGAAGCTGCTCCAGGATTCTGGAAGGCCAGGGGGAGGGAAAGGAAGCCCGGCCTGTCAGACGTAAGATTCAATCCCTGGCTGCAGTCATTTGAGTGAAACAAAGAGTCCTCATGTTTTTTTCTTGTCATCTGTACATTCCATGTACCAAGAAAAACAGCACCAAAGGCCAGAGTGACAGAGCTACCAGGATCCTCTTGGGCTGCAGCAGGTTATGATGAGAATCAACAGTTTGGGGCAAACACTTCCTCCCTTTGGGTCTACTTTTCCAAAGGCAGTGAAGGGACGGGACCAAACCAGTAGAGGTCTCACTTCATCGTGAACCCCTGAGGGTTTTTTTCATCCTAGTGGTGACAGGTAAGAGCACGCTTAAAGCATCAAGCCTTTGCGATGTGCCCGTAACTGGAAGAGCGGCAGCGGCTTTGGCAATTAGTGGCCTTCAACCAATGGCGAGCACGTTCTCTGGGAACCGGCTCACACAGAGGAAGGACTGGGGTGGACTTGAAGGAGATTTGTTTGGTCAACAACAGGTGCCCAAGGGAAAAGTCAGGTGTCACAGGCCTCAGGGAGTTCCAAGGAGTGACTCTGAAACCACTGGTTCCAGGTTGACAAAGCATAGGCAGCTATCAGCCGCCCTTCCTCGGTTTCCCTGCCCGAGAGACACGCACCCCCCACGTGGTCCTGTGAGTAGAGCTGGGGGCTCTGAGCCCACCCCCACCCCCACCCCACCCCCACCCCCACCCCACCCCCACACACCTGCCCCTTCTTCCTCTCTCCTGCCTCCCTCCGAGAGAAGACAGCCAGAACCTTAGGACCACGGCTTTCCAAAGGTCGAGGCCAAATACTTATCTACAGAATGATCTCAACAAGGTTTGGGAAAATGCATGAATGTACAGGAAGAAGAAAGAAAAAGTGTTAACTAGTAGTGGTTCTCTCTGGGTGGAGGGAAATCAATGATTTTTTTTTCCCTTGCAGAGCAGAGAGGAGAAATGCTACCAAGCTGAGCCCTCCTAACAGCCACACGTCCGTCCGAGCTGAGCCCAGACCACGGCCCTGGCCACAGTGAACCCCCCAGGGAATGGCACTAGCACGTTAGGTGTGAGCCCAGGGGACAATGGCAAGGTGAAAGAAAGTCCATCCTGGTACTTCACAGAAAATCAAGCCAAGGCGGAAATCAGCACAAATAAGCTTTTTAGAGAAGGAGAGTAGCCTGGAGCGGGGCCCAGGTTTTATTGATAGAAGGCTAGGCCCTGCCCTACTTGGGCTGAAGCACCAGCCAGGCCTGTCCAAGGCAAACACAGCCCCTCCCCCCGGGCCAACCCCGCTCCAGGCTGTTTGCTGGCTGGGGGCTGTCCCATCCCCACACGGGACTCTTGGCTCCTTCGGTGTGTTTCTATGTTGCTCCTTCTACACGTCAGTGTGGTTTTGCTCTAGACACAACCATGACTTAGCTTGCCAGAGGGTCCCCAGCAGAGGGAGAGGGGTCACTCAGACTGGGGAGCACATGTGCACTGCTGACATTCTGAGGATGAGATGATGTATATGGCAAACCCCAGGCCCTGCTCTGGGCCTTTGGCCCACCGCGCTTGGGAGCTGGCTAACCAGCTCTAGGGCAGGGTTTCTCAAACTTGGCACTGTTTCTTTGCACCCCCCCCCCCAAGTATTGATTTTAGAGACAGATGAAGGGGGAGAGAGAGAGAGAGAGAGAGAGAGAGAAACATCAATGTATCGTTCCACTTATTTACGCATTCCTTGGTTGCTTCTTGTATTGCGCCCTGACCAGGGATCTAACCTGAAACCTTGGCGTATCAGGACAATGCTCTACCCAACGGAGCTCCCTGGCCAGGGCTCGGCACTGTTGATGTTTTGGGTCAGATGATTCTTTGCTGCAGGAACCTCTTCTGTGCACCGTAAAATGTTCGGCAGAATCCCTGACCTCTCCCCGCTAGACGCCAATGGCAGCTTCCAGTTGTAATAATCAAAAACGTCTCCAGAAACTGCCAAATGTCCCCTGGGGGAAGGGAGCCAAGTCACCCCCTTTTGCGACCTGCTGCTTTAGAAGAAGGAATAAAGGGTACCAAAACAGGAGACCCAGGGAGCAGTGCGGGGAGCAGGCTCCAGGTGGTGGATGGGCAGAGTTGAGGGGAACAGAAAGAAGAGAGACTTGGAAGCTCCCAAATGGGATAGAAAACAGGGAAAATAAAGAGTTGTTTAAATAAGATTTTAAGGAAATGTTGCTGCACGGTGGGCTATGAAAGCTCCTGTTTACGTCTTCTAAGGAATTCCTTCAGCAAAAGTCTGCGTCAATTACCAGGAGTCAGCTCTGTGTCCTGTTCCCGATCCCCCACCGGGATGGACAGGTTCCAGCTGGGGACAAGACCTCTCAAGAGGCTGGGTTCCACAGGCCACACCATAAGCAGTTACTATTCCAAAGTGTGTGGAGGATATACAGCATTTCAAAACACTTATTTTAGAACTGATTCAATGTCATGTTAATAAAAACATTCATCACATTTGCTTTCTAGTAATGCTTTCGCAGTGGGAGGAAGAGGCATGGAGCAATAGCTGAGGCTGGTACCACCCATGGGTGGATCTGATGATTGAACATCATTGATCATGTGCATTATGATCAGAAAAAGCATGTGGATGGCTGTTCTGGGGACTTGGGGCTGAACCCGATTCTCTTCAGGAAATAACCAGTTACCCAGCATCTGTATTGTCTCTCACAGTACCTTGGGCTTTCCCTCATAAACATGGGGTTTTTTGTTTAATTTCACTACCCTATTGCAAGCACTGGGAGGGCGGGGGTCAACTCTGTTAATTTCATCACTAAGTCCCTGGCATTCCTGAGCCTGCACATGGTCAACATTCAAAACATATTTGTTGAATGAATAAATAGATGGTGTCCTGGAACACTTCTTACTTCCTTGACCCAGCAACCTTTGACTCATACATGAAGACTCAGATCAAATATCACCTCCTTTGGGAAGTCTTCCCTGATTTCTCCCAACAGAAACAATTGCACTGTGAATTCAAAACACTCGATTCATATTAATGGCAACATGCATCATAGTATATACTATGTGGTGGTATTCTGCCTCTCCTGCCAGAATGTAAGCTCTTTGAGGATAAAAACTGATATATCATTTATTATCCCTATTCTCACCAATGCTTGGCACATAGTAGATATTCAATAAATGCTTGTTCAATGCAAGAATCCAAAAAAAAGCTCTCCTGTCACCCTTCCAAATCCTAGATATCAAAGTTCAGATGCAGCCTGGTTCAAGTGCTTTGGCAAATCCAGAACCAAGAGCTGCTTTGGGCATCAAATTTCCTGGTCCTTTAACACGGGAAAAATATTTGCCTAGCCCCTCTGAAGTTGATCTGGCCTGGCTGACAGCCCCCACGTTCCCACTGGCCCAGGGGTATGAGGCCTCAAAGCATCTTCGGGATTCTTCTCTGGGACCCCGCTGCCTCTACCCATGGCCACACCTCTGGCTTAAAGCCCTAGCAGGCTCCGGACAGGGGACTACGGACGTCTCCGTGGAACTCCGTGAGCCATCTCCCCAGTCGGAAAAAGGGTGTGTGATACTGGGATTTGTGATAATAAATATATATTTGGTCTTTGTCCCCATTTCAGGCACAGAGCTCCTAAAACCCTAGGAACTTCCGGAGTGATGAGAGCAAGCAAGGTGTCTCTTGTTATGTCTAATGAGGGACTTTGGGACCCTCCCTAAAGATGGGGGCTGGTTGCCAGTAGAACCTACAGGTGATCAGAGTGTTGGAACTTTCAGCCCCACCCTCTGACCTCCAGGGAGGGGAGAGGGGCGGGAGGTTGAATCTGTCACTAATGGCCAGTGATTTAATCAATCATGCCTATGTAATGAAGTCTCCGTAAAAACACAAAAGGAAGGAATCAGAGAGCTCCTGGGCTGGTGGACATGTGGAGAGTCGGGGAGGTGGCACACCTGGAGAGGGCATGGGAGCCCTGTGCCCTTCTCATACCCCTTTCTCTGCCTCTCTTCCATCGGCTGTTCCTGAGTCCTATCCCTGTATAGTAATCTGTTAAGTAACATTTTCTCTGTGTTCTGTGAGCCGCGTTCACAAATATAATCAAACCCAAGGAGGGAGTTGTGGTAACCTCCGATCTAAAGCCAGTGGGTCAGAAGCCCAGGTGACAACCTAAACTTGCAGTTGGCATCTGACGCAGAGTGGGAGGGGCGCAGAGAGTGACGTTGAATTGTAAAACACCCAGGTGGTATTATAGAATTGCTTTGGTCATGTGGGGAAAAAAAACCCACACACATCAGAATTGCATGCGGAATCAGAATGTGTCTGTGAACCCTATCTGGCCAGAAGGGGACCCCAACATCCAGCACATGTGGAATACCCACGCCACCTCCTGCTCACCAGCTCCTGGAAAGACAGGGGAATCCAAGGCACTGCAAAGGCTGTGCCCAGCCCGGTCCTCAAGCTTTGCTGCCTACCTGGTCAGAGGTCGGAGTGAGGGTGCTTTCTGGAGAAGCTCTGTCCCGGAATGCGCCCTCGTGCTGACTGCAGTCCAGCTGGATCAGGTTGCGACACTCCGGGTGGCAGGTGAATTTGCAGTCTGGAGGGGAAAAAGAAACCAGGGGGGTTAGGGGCCAGGCTTCCCAGAGAAACACCTTGGGGGACTGCATGTAGCTCCAAGAGGGAAAACAAGCAAGAGAGAGGTGGAGGGTGGGAGAACCGTGAGCAGGACTCCCTGCTCTCTGTGCCGTTGCAAATGGTGAACATGGACCGGTGCTTGCCGGGCATACCTGGGAGATATCGCAGGTCTGGTTCCAACTCACCGCAATAAAGTGAATATTGCAATAAAGCAAGTCACACAAATTTTTTGGTTTCCCAGTGCATATAAAAGTTATGTTTATACTATACTATATTCTATTAAGTGTGCAATAGCATTATGTCTAAGATATATATATTAGATATATAATAATATAAATTATTATTTTATATATATACTATATACTATAATATATATATAATAAGGGATATATATATATCCCTTAATTAAAAATATTTGCTGTGCCCTGGCTGGTATGGCTCAGTTCGTTGAGTGTCATCCCATGCACTGAGAGGTCGCTGGTTCGATTCCCAGTCAGGGCACATGCCCAGGGTTGTGGGCTCGACCCCCAGTTAGGGGGCTTGCAGGAGGCAGCTGATTGATGTTCCTTTCTCACATCGATGTTTCTCTTCTTCTCTCCCTCTCCCTTCCCCTCTCTCTAAAAGTCAATACAAATATTTTAAAAAATATTTTATTGCTAAAAAGTGCTAACCATCATCTGAGCCTTCGGTGAGTGGTAATCTTTTTGCTGGTGGAAGGTCTTGCCTCAAGGTCGATGGCGGCTGACTGATCAAGGTGGTGGCTGCTGAAGGTTGGGGTGGCTGTGGCAATTTCTTAAAACAAGACAACAATGAAATTGATGCATCGGTCGGCTCTTCCCTGTACAAACGATTTTGATGTAGCATGTAATGCTGTTCGACAGCGTTTTACCCCTAGTGGAACTTCTTTCAGATTTGGAGTTGGTCCTCTCAAATTCTGCTGCTGCTTTATCAACAAAGTTTATATCCTATTCTAAATGTTTTGTTGTCATTTCAACATTCTTCACAGCGTCTTCACCAGGAATAAATTCCATCCCGAGAAACCCCTTTCTTTGTTCATGCATAAGAAGCAACTCCTCGTCCATTAAAGTTTTATCACGGGATTGCGGCAATTCAGTCAAATCTCCAGGCTCCACTTGTAATTCTAGTTCCCTTGCTCTTTCCACCACATCTGCAGTTACTTCCTCCACTGAAGCCTCGAACCCCTCAAAGTCACCCATGAGGGCTGGAACCGACTTCTTTTAAACCCTTGTTAATGTTGACATTTTGACCTCTTCCCATGAATCACAATGTTCTTTTTTTTTTTATAATTAATTAATTTATTTTTGTTACAGATGTTTCTCCTTTTTCCCTCATTGATTCCCCCCTCCCCGCCCTGTCCCCAGCTTTGTTGTCCATGTCCATTGTTCATGCATACATGCATACAAGTTCTGTGGTTTATCTCTCTCCCACCACCCCCTCTTCTGGGGATTGTCAGTCTGTACCTCCCTTCCATGTTTCTGGGACTACCCCATTCCTCAGACTGTTATGTTCATTATATTCCACAAATAAGTGAGATCATATGATACTTGTCTTTCTCTGTTTGGCTTGTTTCGCGTAGGATAATACTTTCCAGGTCCCTCCATATCGTCTCAAAGGATAAGAGATCTTTCTTTCTTACAGCTGCATAGTACTCCATTGTGTATATGTACCACAGCTTCTTTATCCATTCGTCTACTGATGGACATTTGGGTTGTTTCCAGATCTTAGCTATTGTAAATAGTGCTGCTATGAACATGGGGTACATATATTCTTTCTGATTGGTGTTTCAGGCTTCTTAGGGTATATTGCTAGAAGTGGGATCACTGGGTTAAATGGTAGTTCAATTTTTAATTTTTTGAGGTAACACCATATTGTTTTCCATAGTGGCTGCACCAGTCTGCATTCCCACCAGCAGGTACTAGAGCCCCCTTTTCTCCACACCCTCGCCAACACTTGTTGTTTGATGATTTATTGATGGCAGCCATTCTGACAGGTGTGAGGTAATACCTCATAAATCACAATGTTCTTAATGGCATCTAGAACGGTGAATCCTTTCTGGAAGGTGTTCAAGTTCCTTTACCCAGATCCATCAGAGGAAGCTGTATATATGGTGCTATAGCTTTAAAAAAGATGTCCCTTTAGTAATAAGAATTGAAAGTTGAAATTACTCCTGGATCCATGGGCTGCAGAGTGGATGTGTGTTAGCGGGCATGAAAACAGCATTAATCTCATTGTGCATCTCCATCAGAGCTCTTGCATGACCAGGTACACTGACAATGAGCCGCATATTTTGAAAGGAATCTTTTCTTCCGAGCAGTAGGTCTCAACAGTGGGCTTAAAATGTTCAGTAAACATGTCAACAGGTGTGCTGTCACCAGGCCTTGCTGTTCCATTCACAGAGCACAGGCAGAGGAGATTCAGCGTGATCCTTAGGGGCCCGAGGGTTATCAGGTGGTAAGTGAGCATTGGCTTCAACTAACTGCATTAGCCCCAAAGGAGAGTGTCAGCCTGTTCTTATTTTTTTTATATGTTTTCATTGATTTTTTAAAGAGAGTGGAAGGGAGGGAGAGACAGAAACATTGATCACTGCCCCCTGCACGCCCCCCACCGGGGATCCAGCCCAAACCCAGGCATGTGCCCTGACTGGGAATTGAACCGGGACGACGCTCAGTCCACTGAGTCATACCGGCTGGGCTGTCCTTGGAAGCTTTCAAGCCAGGCACTGACTTCTCCACTCTGGCTGTGAAAGTCCTAGACGGCATCTTCTTCCAATACCAGGCTGTTTCGCCTACACTGAGAATCTGGTGTTGAGTGTGGACCCCTTCCCTGACTGTCTTAGCAGGATCTCCTGGAGAACCCACCGCGGCTTCTGCCTCAGCCTCGTGGCTTCACCTGCTCTTTCATGTGATGAAGACGGCATCTTTCCTTAAAGCTCAGTAGCTTCAGACTTTTCCCACAGCTTCCCGACCTCTCTCAGCCTTCACAGGACTGAGCCGTTAGGGCCTTGCTCTGGCTCAGGCTTTGGCTCATGGGGATGTTGTGTCTGGTTCAATCTCCCACCCAGACCCCTGCAACGTTCCGCACGTCAGCACGCAGGCTGCTCGCTCTACCATTGTGCTCGCCCGAGTAGCCCTTTCCCCTCTCACGGTGTCCCCTTCGCATTCACAACCGCTGTCTGTTTGGCACAAGACACCCAGCTCTGAGCCTATCTCGGCTTTTCATGTTTTCCTCACTGAGGTTAATCATTTCCAGCTTCTATAATTTTAATTTTATTTGTTTTATTCCTCACCCGAGGATATTTTTCTACTTATTATCAGACAGAGTGGGAGGGAGGGGGGTGAGAGGGAGCAAGAGACAGAGAGAAACATCGATGTGCTAGAGCCACATTGACTGGTTGCCTCCCGCACGACCCAACCAGGGCCGGGGACAGACCGCAACCCAGGCACGTGCCCTTGACGGGAATCGAACCTGCGACTCATTGGTCCGCGAGATGATGCTCTGACCGCTGACCCAAACTGGCCAGGGCCATTTCCAGCTTTTGACTTAAGGCGAGAGACACAAAACTCTGGCCTAATTTCAATATTATTGTATCTCAGGGACTAGGGAGGCCTGAGAAGAAGGAGAGATGGGGGAACGGCTGGACACACATTTATTAATGAAGTTCACTGTCTTAAATGGGCGTGGTTCGTGGTGCCCCAAAGTCATTACAGTAGTAACATCAAAGATCATTGATTGCAGGTCACCATACAAATATAATAATAATGAAAAACTTTGAAATATTAAATTACCAAAATGTGAGGAAGAGACATGAGGTGGGCAAATGTTGTTGGAAAAATGGCACCAACAAACTTACTCAAGGCAAAATTGCCACAAGCCTTCCATTTGTAAACAATACGATACATGTGAAGAACAATAAGGCGGCGGACAATAAGATGAAGAACACCCGTACACATTTGCAAACTGTTTTCACCTCCATTCTTTTGTGTGACCCTACAAACATTATTGTCCCTGTACAAACAGAAAATTGAGGCTCAGGGATTTTAGTGACTTTCTCAAGGTCAGATCATCTGGCTGCGGACTAGTGCTCTTCCTACTAATTTACATTAATTCGATCACCAGGGACCATGGATCTTTGGGGAAGGACTTAACTCTTCTGGGCCTTATTTTGCCAATCTGTGAAATACAGGTCATAGCATCCCTGCCTCGTGCACAAGGATGCTTACAGTTATAGGACAAGTCTCCACAAATTAAAAGTGCCCCATGACAGTGGCATGGTCGTCAGCAGCAGGAGGGGTTGTTACCATCTCTGACCTGCCCCATCTGAAAATGTGGGGATGACCAGCTGAAATAGCCTACAGACAACATCCCAAATCAGGTGTTTCAGAGACGAAAGCACAAGTTTTGTAGCCAGTGTTCACATCCATGGAAGCAGGACTTAATGAGCCTTGGGACTACATCAGAGATGGGGAAACTGAGGCCCAGAGCAGTAAACGAGGGGCCCAATGACACACAGCTCGGTGGCAGAGCCAAGGCTGTTAGTAGCTTCCAGGCCTTCAAGGGCTCTCTCTCCCCTGGAGCCTCCTTGGCAGAAGGGAGGTCAAGTTAAAGAGGCAGAGGGACTGGTGGGACAGGGCAGGGTTTGTGGCAGGGGACACAGAGTCCAGACTTGTTTGGATAACCTGGTCACTAGGGGACACTTTTTAAAAATGTTTTCATTAATTTTTTTTTTTTTTTGAGAGAGAGAGAGGAGAAGGGAGAGGGGAAGAGAGGAAAATAGAGAGAGAAACATTGATGTGAGAGAGAAGCATCGTTTGGCTGCCTCCTGCACGCCCCCCATTGGGGACGGGGCCCACAACCCAGGCATGTGCCCTGACTGGGAATCGAACCAGCTGACCCTTCAGTGCAAGGAAAGATGCTCAACCGAGTCACACCAGGGGACTCTAG